AGTTTGGTGATATTCCTCTCTCTTTAATCAAAGAATAATTAGGAGCTGCAAAGGGGCTACCCTTCCTTTTCCTTCGGTAAACATGGCTAGATGGAAGTGGGCCATGACCAGGGGTGTTTGGTTGTTAGTAATATGTAAAAGAGAAGGCTGTTGGCTTCCATAGAGGTGAATCACCCCGAGAGTTCAGATTGGCAGTCTGACAGAGGGGAACAGGCAGCCCTATATCCACCACTCTCTGCTTTTCCAATTCTCACACAAATCAGATGCTTTTACTTACTCTGCAAATTAAAAAGTCACATGTGAAACTTTAGTTTGCATTGATTTGGTTCACATTTATTATTACTCTCCCTTTACAACCAGTGGGAGAGGCTGCTTTTCTTAGCATGACTTTGTTTCAGGAGTTTTTAATCGTGCAAACCATCTCTAGTGGTTTTTCTTTGGATGGGAATGTAAACCATTACCAATGGTAAATTTCATCCATCTATTAAAAATAACACCTTATGTAACAATTGGCTGTAAGCACAACAATAAAAAGGATGTAAGTATTTATTTAATGTCACACTAAATTAGCTTGATCTATACCCCTAGTCATTTTCTTTTGGAATGATTGTTAGGCTCTTGCAGAATCCAACTGTGAGCCCACTGGGATCTAAAATAGCAGGCAGTTGAAATCACTTTGAGCTTAGAAATCAAGAGTCAGTGTATTTTAATTATATTTCATGGAGAACGCGAAAATCTCTGTTCTCCCACCCTTTGACTCCTGCTCCTCAACCAAGTTTATATAACTAAATCATGAAGAAACATCCTGTAATTTTCAATATATTTACAAATCTCCCAAACTCCTTAAATTATATGCTGTAAACTCAGTGTGCTGACTATCTTATGCTGTGAAGGGCACAATAATGATATGGTAGTCAAGGGCACAGACTCTGAAACCAGTCTTCCGTGAGACATTGAGCTAGTTACTATTACTGTGTCTGTTTCCTCATATGTGAAATGAGGACTACAATCGTGGTACCTACTTTAAGAGGTTATTATGACTTTTGAGTGTCTCTAGGTATGTATAATTTACTTACACCAATCCCACAGTAAGTGCTATCTAAGTGTTTACTAATATTTCTTTCTCAAAGGAAACGAGTCCTCGGTGTGCCTCTGTGCCCTCTTCATACTGTGACACATGCATTTGTCCCTCTCAGCCGACCTCATCATCCCATTCCAATAAATGTTATACTTTTATCACCTCTGGTCTACAGTGAAACTGAAATTTTATAAAATCAAGGCATCTTAGCCAACTTCCCTTAAGAAAGGCTTGTCTTGAGGAGTATTCATGGTTCCTGGAGCTATGATTTGAATTTTTTTCCTCTCAAGTCAGCTAAGTGGATTATAATGTTCTGGATAAATAACTGTCTCCAAATGGTTGATTTAATTCCTCACTTTTTGATGGTCTTTGGGAGGCGATACAAAAGTACCAGCAGCTCACCAAACTGCCTATAAATAAATATTTTGATGGAAAGCTTTTCTTGTTCCACATTTTAAACTAAGTAAAACTAAACATCCGAGTACTGATAGTTCTTAAGAAAATTAAAGTGCGTTCTAAAATATTTACTGTGAGTACCATGTCGTTACAAAAGCTGCAAAATAGGGCCATAACATCTAATTTATGTAATTAAAATCCATTGTTATTCTTAGTATAACTATAATCATTTATTTAAAAAACAAAAACAAAACAAATATCAATCCAGATGGTAAATAAGGAAATAATGCAGTTGTTTTATTCAAACAAATTAAAGTGTTTTCAATGTTATGTAAAGTACTACTATCAGGAAAATGTTTTAATTAGCCAACCTCCCACTCAGATTACAGATAATGCCATTTGATATATCTGTCTTGATTTCATTTCAAGAGTCATCATTGACTCTAACCATTGCCTCTCTTGCGCAATTCTAAATTTATAATAAAGTTGCAAAATAATGCACTAAACTATCTCCTCTCCTATTTTAACATCCTAAAGGGCATTTAAGCAAATTAAGGCACTTTGTACCCACAGTGCTTTGTCTGGCTGGGAGCCTGACACATGTGATACCATAAAAAGCTGTTTCCTAAATACATCACTAGAACTGAGGACATCTAATAACTGTACTGCCAGGCACAGAGGTACCCTTTCAGGGTAAATAACACCACAGTTTTTCTCTGTGGACTCACTGCTTTCCTATTCTCAAGCTATGTGGGTTTAGTTGGAATGAACCCCACTACCCATCCCCTGCATGCATCTTGATTGCTCTGGACCGCAGGCCAACGCTCTAACCGCTGAGCCAAACCGGCCAGGGCGCATCTTGATTGCTTTAAGAAGATCGGTGTATCACCCAGCTTCTACCATTGTGATTGGTTTGGGGATGGGCACACTAACCAATCAGGGCCAGTGATGTCCTTTGCAAGGCATTCTGAGAAATAACTTTCCTCTTCCCCTTGTTGAGCAACCACACACACACTAAACTAAACTAAATTAAACTAAACTAAATTAAACTAAACTAAACTAAACTAAACTAAACACCCTCCCTCTTTCCTTAGAATGGACTCTCTCTTGCAGGTGAATGAGTGGTAGGAGAAAATGAGGTCTGGAAGTGTGGCAGTCATGCTGATAAAAAGAACAGATGGTGGAGTTGCTGATGTTGGTGGGAAATGACCAGTAAGTACCCTGTGGAGCCAGACTTAGAAGACAACACCTCAGAAGCCAACCTCGTTAGGCTGGAGGAGGACAGGCCTATGCCCTGGGAACAAACATACTGTGAACTTTTGGATCAAGCTTCACTTCAACCAGTCAGAACTCTGGACTTTTCAGTTACAAAGTCAATACATTTCCTTTAATATTTGCCAGTCTGGGTTGCGTTTTCTGTTACTTGCAACATAAAGAGCCCTAAACAATGCAAGCAAAGAGCCTAGACTAAATAGGAATGTTTGGGCCCCAGAACTTGTCTTCAGGAGCACCATGGTGCTACCTCCAACCTTAATGGGGAATGGGAAATGAGCCAAAGGCAGATTGTCAGCCAGTGAAACAGATAAGTGAGAAATTCAAGGATACCTTTCATGGTGATGCCAAGAAGAACGAGAAAAAGGGCCCAAAAGATAGAGCTTGGGAGCTGATTCCTGTGCAGGCATGCCAGAGAGGAGAAGCCCAAGTTGGCATTACTGTTTTTAAACAATGACTAAATAGTAACCAGGTATTTGTGAATAAGAGGCTGCCTGGTTCTCATAACTGGTTGGTAAGGTAATTATAAAATGTTTTCTAGTTAGTAGAAAAAGTTGGTCATTAATTGGAACTACAGTCTTCATCTTTTAAAAAAGATTGCTTATTTTTAATGCAGATAAAATAGACTTACTTTGCAAAAAAAGTATAAGAATAAATACTATTTTTCAGTCTATTCTAATCAGTGGACGCTAAACAATTATAAACCACTTTTAAAAATAAGCAGTATATGTCTTTGCTGGTGTTGCTCAGTGGTTAGAGCATACTTGGGTTGCAGGTTCCATCCCTGGCCCTGGTGGGAAGCAACCAGTCGAGATGTTACTTTCTCTCTCTCTCTCTCCTCTCTGCTTCTCTCCCTCCCTTCCACTCTCTCTAACAACAACAACAAAATCAATGGGAAAAAATATCCTCAGGTGAGGATTAACAAATAAAAAATAAGCATTATATTTGTACACTTGTCATTTCTGAGTCTCTTGTTCAATAAATAATAATTTTGTTAAACTTTAAGAGTCACATTTAAATATTTAGCCTTGATTTTAATATTAGAGCAAAAACATTTTCATGTGTTTGCTCTTTTTCACAAATTATTGTTCTGCTGTGGAAATAAAATTGAAAGGAAATAGAATGAGACCTGGGGGATAGCAAAACATTTCTTTAGCTTATTATTTTTTTAAAAAAGAATATTCTTTCTTTGTCCATTCTGAACTTAGAAATCTTTTTTTTTCTATATAATACTGAAATATTTAACAATTCATAAAAAACTAAGCATTTACATTAAAATAAAACTTTAAATATAGCCCTGTAACTTTTACCAGAAACCTTGTAAAATATGATGTATTTACATGCATGAATACTAAAACAAGAAAGACTATTCAACATTCACATGGAAAAGCAGCATTAGATACAATATAATAAATATCCAGGAAATCAAATCCACAAATTGATCATTATTCTGATTTAAGTTATTTTTTCCAGTTAAGACTTTTATACTTTTTGTATAATTTATTATAATAACTTTACAAGTTAAACATTAACTAATTAAAAACAGAATTCAACTAATCCGACTGCTGAAATAACACAGTCCTTAATGTTTCGCAGCATATTGTAAACTATAACACTTATAAAACTGTCATTTTGGCAAGAAATACACATCTATATAACTAGCTGCTCAATTAACTTCTTTTTCAATATATAAAAAAAGTCAGAGTTGATAGTATGAAAAGAAACAGAAGCTAATATTATTTCTGAGATAATTTTATTGCCTTAGCTCTTGGGCTTTGGCAATAAATGTCTTAAGTTTTAATATATATCATATAACTTAAAAACTGTATTTACAAAATACAAAAGTTTTAAAAGCAAAATACTATACAAAATACTGTTTTTATACATTTAAAGGATGCTTTTCCTTATAATGTATGTGAGCCCTTTGCCTCTGATTTTTCCACATGCGTTCAGGATCCTTTCCTTGGGCAGCAATTTAGAGCTGGGTTTTTAATAATGACAACTGGTCTACAATTAAAGTACGAAGCTGAAGATCAAAGATTGCTTTATGCAATTTTTCTAGAAATTCTGATTAAAAGCCACTTAAAATCCAAATTATACATTTTACTTTGTTACATTTTGATTCATTTCTTTTGTCATTAAACCAAGCAAACACTTTTTTAGAAATATATCAATTATGAAAATTCTTTTTAATTGCCTTCCTTTTGAAATGCATAAACACCCACCATTTCTGTTAACTTTTAAACATCTGTTTCTATGCATAAACACTTAACATTTCTTCATCTAAAATACTGAGAGAATAAAGGAGATTCATGTGTACTGCTCCTTCCTGCTACTAGAGGGATCTTTTAAAAATGACTAATATTCATCCAGCGCTATAGAGTTTCATGACTGAGTTCCACAGCCAAGGATCTTAACCTGAGGATGGACCAGGTCTTCCACATGAAGTTTCTTTTCTGTTATTTCTACCTTAGGAGGCAGATTATCTTCCTTATATGCCATATATATTTCCCAAATCACCAAAATATGAACCCAAACCTTTTAGAATTCTCCCAAATCCACTTGCTCAGTGTGTGATTGGACACTGACCGGGTAAAGGGAACTCTGAGAGGGTCCCAAGATCTGGGAATTCCAAGGCGTGAGTGGAGTTCACTCACCCTGCAATGTGGCACTCTACTGTGGTCAGTAAGGAGTGCTGCCCAAGGGCGGATGGAGTGGTTACTTGCAAGTGTGGACATCAGTCATGCTTTCACACCTCCTGCAGCGAACATAGCAGCACCAGATAAACTTGCACTCACACCTTTCCACGTGTCTGACCACGTGGGTGTTGTAGCCTCGGCCACAGCAGAGGAGGTTACAGCCATCTGCACTCTCCGAGGTACGGTTGCATTCTCTGCCTTGTGTCCCCGGGATCCCTAATTTCTTATCCTCCACACAGTAATTGGGAGACTTATTCACGTAGAGTAGATCATCTTTGCGGATCGGTACTTTCCTCTGGTCTTTTTCTCTCCTGCGTATTTTCCTTTTTATTTTGTCTGAGACTTGAACACTGTTTTCATATTTATCCTTCAACAAGTGGCCGATCTTTTCAAAAGAAGACATGGTTTTCCAGCATGTTTTCACAGCACAAGAGCCAGACACTCCGTGACAGCGGCAGTCCACTGACATCAACTTGGCAACAGCCTGGAACCAACAGGAATGTGTTAAATATCACTCATACAGTGTTTTACCCAATAATAGAAGCAAGCTAACCTAATCACTTAATTTTCTGGGTCTGTTTCCTCCTGTATAAAAATGATGGTTTTGAACATAAAGGATCTTACAGATTGCTTAGGGTTCAAATGTTTTGTCCTCTTCACCCTGTAGAGCAAACCTTCCAAGTCAAATTTAAAGTTATCAGAGATTATCTGAGATAACAAAGGGAAACTACTCTTATTTCTCATCTCTTCTTTAATTTGGGGAGTGGGGGGATATTCAAGCATGTCTCCATGTTCCTAGTACTATTTAGCACCTTGCTACTCAGAGTGTGGTTCATGGACTAGCAGTGCCAGTATCACTTGTAAGAAATTCAGACTCTCAGAATCAGCATCTTAATTTTAATAAAATCCTCAGGTGACTTGTATGCACATTAAAATTTGAGAAGCACTGATATATAAGTCATAATGGACTACATCATGCATGGAAACATCTGTGGAACCTTACAAATAGCCAATGGTCAAACATTGAGATTCTGCTGTAACAGGTCGAGGTGGGGTCCAGGTAGTAGTATTTCTACAAAGCTGCTCAGATGATTCTAATGGGCATCAAGGGATGGATGTGAGACCTACTGATCGAATTGGGAGTTCTTAAGTCTGATCACTGTAAAAAAAAAAGTCAGTTACATTCATGGGGGTTGGGGGGCTTACTATCCCCTGGTCACAGGCCACATGAGAAACCCTGACTAATCAACTTTAGACAAAACAAGAAGGTGCCAGGGAGTGTAATTTTCCAGAAAATCTTTCCCCTCTTCTAAAAAACTAATTCAAAACATATGTCCTATCAGTAGCACATCCTAACATAGAAAGGAGATAATATTTGTGTAATTTTTCAGTTCTATGTGCTACGTTTAGTTTATACAGACTGAGAAATTAAATGAGATTACACCTTTCTGTAAGAGCCCACTCCTGGCACACATTAAGGTCTAAATGAATGCCCCCTTTCTCAGAAGAAGGTACAGTAAGAGTGAAGATACATTTCAAATGGGGCTAACAGTGCAAAAATAATATAGAGATTTAAAAAGTTTTAGGGCTCTAAATCTCTTACATACCAGGCTAGTCAGCACAGCTTCCTTCAATCTCCAGAGGATGGCAAAGCAGATTAATAAATTGTCAGGCTAGCTGCAGAGTTGACGTCTGTCAGCATGCTGGGTAACGTGAAAAATTGATCTATCCATTCAATAACTTGGAAAGTGTATGTGTAAGCTCACCAAAGAAAGGAAAAATCCCACAGCTTAAATTTCACTTATAGTTCTTATCAAAACTATAATATAACAGGGCTTTATACTTTGTTATTCATTTTGAACTAAACATGACATTGACATGTTTGCAGGATGTTACATTTCCTAATAAATTAATCAAAGTTTCTGAACTATCTAATGAGACAGAATATTTCAAACAATTTATAATATTTGCAACTTGAATGACAGCATATGGTATTGATTTATGCAATATTTGATACTTCTTACTGGTGTTTAAAATAATAAACAGAATAGTATTTAAACCCTGTTCTTTATAGACTATAGCACACATGCTCTTTTTAAATTCACAAAACTGTGAAGCTAATAGATATGTCTACTTCTTATTAACTCAGGCAAAAAGTACCTTTTAATGATATGAGCGCAATTTATAAAGTATGGCACCAGGCTTATTTGGTTAAATTTATGGCATATGATATTCACAAAGCCAATTCTTTAAAATGGTCAAATTAATACAATCTGCCTACTTCTGTTCAGATTTTAAGTGCCTGGAGGATTAGGAAAAAAGGGCTCAATCAATGGTAGGTAATAACAAAACAAATTACCCAAAGAAAGCGAAAAATCTAAGGATGTATTATGTGTTTAAACCTAATCGACATTCCTTATAGTCATCACCTAGTGATTTAAAGCTGCCCTTAGCTCAGATCATGACTGAAGAGCTGACTTTTTCTTTTATTAACCAGTTCAAATATCATGTATGGTGCTGCCAATTCGCAAAGCATAGCAGACAGAGTAGATGCTCATCAAATGTTTATTGGGTAATTAGTCCAGCTCACTTAAACAGTTTTAACTCATTCTCTACTGGTAACCTGAATTGGAAGGAAGTAATAAAAGCCACCTTCTTAAAACAAAAGAGTCACTGCTGGGAGGTCAATGGCACTGGAAGACCTTTATCTAATTCATCAGCCCAAGCAGTGGTAGTCCATAAGAGTGACACACTACTTTACAGATTTGAAGGATAAAGAGAGAGGCTGATTTTCAAATTCAGTGATATAACCTGCTGGATTTGCATCAACATTTTGGGAGGATTTTTCTGTCAAAGAAAACTAGCCCTGTTCAATATCTGGAGTTAACTATAACTTTTCAGAAGTAGCATTGTAAAGAACTGGTATTTTATTACCTTTTAATTCTATTTCTTTTTTGTCCCTAATAATAATTATTTAAAAAAGTGTTTTTATCTTACATACATATATTTTAGTATAGAAAGAAAAATAATCTTCAAGGAGAAGAATTCCAATAACTTGACATGCAATTTAAATTATCGTATCCCCATAATACTCCAAGGAAGAAACTTGGACAATAGGGATTAAAATAAAGCAATATAATCACCACTACAAGAACTTGATGAAGTGCAGAATTCAAGGGTAGATACACACACACACACACACACACACACACACACACACACTATAGAGTTTAGTGCTCCTCAAAGCACATTTTCATAAATTATTTTACTTAATTTAGTTTTATAGGAAGAAATGTAGGGTGTTACAAACGTATTTATTATTCCAATTTTACAGAAAAATAAACAGCGTGGCTAAGACATTTGTCATACATAAGGAAAGTTTGTTGATACATGATATAAAATCTTTATATGAAACTGAATAATTTTAGTAGAAGAGAGAAAAATATAAGTGAAAAATGCAAGTATATTTAATAAAATTGCATGAACACTTCAAAGAATATATTTTGGGGATTTTCAACTAGGATTCTTAATTAATGTTAAATAGCTATTCTGCACTGCAATGATAGCATAGGCATTTTGGGGAGAACGGGAAAAGTAAGAGAGTAGCAATTGAATGAGTTGTGTGTGGTTATGAGAAAATTCCTTTCTCTACTCTAGTTGAGTTGTTAAGGTTTATAACGATATTAACAGAGGAATGTTTTGTTAACTATTGCAAACAGATGTGCGCATTTCGGTGGAATATTTTTAAACTATGGGAGAGCAATTAGGAAGGGAACATTTAATCTACTGGGCTCCTTTGTGTTAAGTTTTGGTTTGATGCATTTCTAATGAAGTGAAATACAAAAGACGTATCATTAGTGCTTAAAGGTAAAGATAGAACCTGTCTGAGAAGTGCTCCAAGGAGTGATTGGTTCCACAATTTTGACTCAGGTAACGCAGCAGGCTGTGATTGTTTTCCAGTATACTGCTCTATCCAAACTTCACAGAAATGACTAAAAATGTTGTGAAACATTTTGTGATGATCATTTCATTTTGTCAACTATCAGATGATTTGTTTAAGTTCTTATGAAAACTGTGACATAAGATTGGATGGGTAGATGTAGAATTCATATTCCTCTGACCCATTTCGTGCCATTTAGTCCAAAAATATATTTAAATCTGCTGAAAAGCAAAGCACTTATATGTTCTTCAAGTACTTATAAATATTCTTGAAACAGGTCAATGAAAATTTGGGGTTGGGCCCTTCCCACTTTTTTGAGTTAGTCATCATAAAACAAATTATGGGGTAGGGATACTTAAAAGTTTATGAGGTGGACATGGGAAGAATGGAAATATTTTAAGCACACCAAAAGAAATACCCATAAATATTCCAAGTCACATTATTCCCAGAAGTTCTGCCCCTGGAAGACATCACATCATTCTGTTAGCCAATCACCATTCAGCAACATTATTCTTGGAGTCATAACTTTAGGAATGGTGTCAGAAACCAAGTGGGAATTTAAGGTCAGCGGTTAGAAAATCATCTATCCTGCTCACAACACTACTAAGCGCCAGTACCCACATTTCTCTGAACGCTTTTCGACATTTGGAGTTGGGGATTTTGAGACTAGAAAAATCAACTCAATTGAATGCAGACCTTGAACTTCACTCAGAATATGCCTATTAACTTAAAATCCTATTTGCCAATATTGAAAATGGAGTTGATTGTTCTTCCATGTTAGATAGATAATAATCTGGAAACCTGGTCGGTTTGTTGTTGTGGTGGTGGTGGTTTTAATTTTTTTGGCCATCAAAAGAAAGAAAAATACAAAAAAATGCTTTGAATTGTAATACTTCATGAGAAACGACCAATAAAAACATCAGTGTAGTACCCTAAAAATATCTAGGTAATAATTTTTAATATTTAAAGTTTCTACCTAGACCAGTGATTTTCAACCTTTTTCATCTCATGGCACACATAATTTAATTACCACATTTCTGTGGTACATAAAAAAATATATTGTTTTGTCTGTCTGGCAAAAAAAAAATAGGTATAATTTTGATTCATTCATACCAGACAACTATTGTGTTGGCTGTTGTCAATTTTCTTTTTTAATCCTCACCGGAGGATATTTTTACGTTTATCTTCAGACAGAGTGGGAGGGAGAGAGAAAGAGAGAGAAACATCGTTGTGAGGGAGACACATCGATTGGTTGCCACCTGCACGGCCCTGGAGCTGGAGACGAACCGCAACCAAGGTACGTGCCCTTGGCAGGAAATGAACCCAGGACTCCCTGGTCTGCAGGCCGACACTCTAACCTCTGAGCCAAGCTGGCCAGGGTGGCTGTTGTCATTTTTTTATTTGACAATCTATGGGAAAATAAGTCAGTGCCCCTGACATTAAATAGTCAGGTATTGCATGTTTTAAAAATTCTTACAGCACATTGCTTGAAAATCATTGATCTAGAATAATGTGAAAAAATTTTTAATAGAGAAAGTTGAAGTTTACATAAAATGTCTATAATTGTATTGGCTGAATTATTTTCTACATAATGAGAATAATAGCAAAAACCTAGGGAATGTGAGGAGATGGATTTTTTTCTGCCAACAAAGGATTAAATTGATGTTGAATAGTTGTATGTATTTAATAAAATTAGAATATAAATAATAAATTAATATCCAAGTTAATAGTTACAAAGGCAAATATTGTTACATAATTTAAAAATTCACATAAGATGCAATAAAACTAAATAGCTGCCTAATATTGCTAGTAAAATACATTTTAGAAGACTTTAAGACATTTCATAAGTTCAGGGATGACTTCATTCAAGAGAATCATAATATGAACTTCTGAGTTTTGTTTCCTAGTTAAAGTTTTAAAAATCCCTAACAAATTGTTTGAAGAATGACTAAAGAACATTTAAGGTTTAAATTAATAATAAATATTTATTTGTTTTCTTATTTTAAAAACATATTAATTTGTCTTACCTTGATGCTTTTTTCTCGATTAACTCATTTTAAAGAACATGTGTTAATTACATTTACCCTCTTTTATATTACTATATTAGAAATAATAAAAAATTTCTTTGTTGGATAATATTTAAATTGCAGCAAAAACTAATTAGCTTAATTTTTTAAATGAAAAACTTTAAGGAAAATATACATATGCATAACTATGGTGTTAAGCAAGAGTTCCTTTAAAATTTTCTCAACAAAAATTCCTATTTTGCAATTTTTAATTGACTATTCAAATTGAAATGAAAATTCAAAATTGAATTTGATGCCTTATGATGATATATTTATTGAGCTTTCTGTTTTTATATTTTAAACCAAAGTGGTTAAGTAAAGAAAACTGGCTGAAACTTGCAACTGTTCTAATTGGGTTCCATTTATTAACTTTCCAAAAATGTAAAACAAATGCAACATATACTTTAAATAGGTGTGAGAGATACTGAAACTTGTTTTACTTTATTTCAGGAAAATGTGGCAGATTGCAATGACTACTTTGGGACTTTTACAGGTTACTGAGTATTTACAATAATACATGATAGTGTTGACATTCCTGTCTGGAAAAGAGTATTATAAGATAGAAAATATATATTCATAAAAAAAAAGTTTTGGTTGTTTTAGTAAAGTCACTATGAATTACCAAGTAATTCAACTATGGTGTAGAACTCAAATATTATTGTCAATATTTATTAAGGTAAATACATAAAAGTTAAATTAAACTATACATTTATTCCATTTTAACAAAACTCATATAAAAAGTGGTTAATTAAATGGTGGTACTTCAAATTTTTTTCCTGCTGAATCGTTAATATATCTATATTAAAAATATCCATATATTTAATAAATCTATATCTTTACATGTGTCTGTATTTATCAATTTTATTGTGGAGCTACATAAATTTAAATAAAATAACTATGTTCTTTAAAAAACTTTGTTTTACAAAAAATATTAGTTAAATATTGTGTATTCCAGATGTATTCAAGAATATTTGTTTGAGAAAGTAAGGAAAAACTGATAACATGTCTAGGAGGCATTGTCCACTAAAAATAGATGTAAAAAAATAATAAAAGTCCATTGAGCAATGAAATTTGATCCAATCCCATTAGAAAGACAAATACTGTAGATCTTACTCAGGCTCTGCCGCTAACCAGCTAAGGGAGTGGAACCAAAGAACCCAACAGGCACTTGTACATCTCTGATTTTACAATTATCGTTTCAGGTATACCAAGTATACAATCACACACATATTCTATAACAAGATTGCACTCATGTTAAATGGAAAATTTAAACTACAACAATGTGGTCAGTACAGGCTCATGAAAGAAAAACATATATAAACTTGCAGTTATACATATATAACACACATATTATATACATATATACATATGTATATGTATGTATATATACATAATATATATACATGTATACATATATATTTCTTAGACTGCAAATATGGTTTGTTTTTAAACCATTTGAACAGATTTATGCACAAATATAATCCTTATATTATTTACCTAAAAACACTGAATTTGATTCCATTTTATAATACATACCTGCCTTCCAGCTTCATTGTTATGAAGGTTCATTGCTAACAGTACTTTGCTTTCTTTTCCCGTGGTGTTTCTGATAGGGAAATCCAGAAATTTTCTGCTGAACCACATGCCATACTGGACATCATCGGAACAGCCCCCCCAGTGCCATCCTTCACTCGCTGAGCCACCATTCTGCAAGGTAGTGTCACAGGAACACTCCGTCATGTTGCCTGCACTGCACGACCTGGTCACAGAATGCACCAGGCCTGCAGCCATTACGGCATAAATAAATGCTGTTTCCTTGGTGCCTAGAATAAAACGTAAATTGCTAAATGAAAGAGCCATACCACTCTCTGTTTATGTTCATAATAGAGCCTCCTACTCATCCTCTTGTCAGAGAAGCAATTTTTAAATTGTTTACAGTGCGTGAGTACATATCGAGAAAGGATGATTTTCTATTGTTCTAGTATTTTAAGAAAGCAGCATTAATTTTGAGCTTCCTTCTTGGTTGTGACATGTTGAACATCATTGTTCTCATACCTAAAAATATCTAAAATATGAAGTGTATGTCAGCACTTAGCTCAGTGTTTAATAGACAATAAAAGCTCAATAAATGCATGCCAAATTTAAATCCTTTGCGTGGATACCGTAAATGGTACAATGCCCCCAAGAGTCCAGATTATTTTTCTTTTCAAATTTAAAATGTGTTCTCACAAAACACAAGCTGAAAAATTTGTGCAGTTTTTGTTCAAATAAATAATACCTATAAGAAAGCAAATTAAAATTAAACCAAAAAGAAACAGTAGATAAAGTATACAGTTTAGTTTCACATTAAAGACTTTTATTTTAGGATATCGTGAAAAACAATCCTGATATTAACATGTAACCATTATATATATATTTATATAGTCTAGCTAATCTTTTTACAATCTTAAAGATAACTGAAATGTCACCAACAGAAAAAATTGTTACGGCAAATTATTGAATATGTATTTAGCACACCTGCAATCGTGTTTGAGCTAAAATCTTTGAAAATTAAAGGCCCATTAAAGCTTAAATAATATGGACGAGAAGAGACTCCGGAGGTGACTGTTTTTTCTTTTGAGATGTTTAGATTGGGTTAGAAACAATTACACGCCCGTTGTCCAATAAACCTTTTCAACAGCTGATGTCTCTGTATTTCAGGAACTGTGAAGAACACACTTTTATTTTGTATTTATTTATTTTATTTTTTCTTTCTTTTTCCCTGTAGGGGGTCAGGGCTCCTCCGGAAGGGTGTGCCGGCCAGAACGCAGCAGGGCCAAGGCCAGGCTTTGGCGGCTGTGTGTATAGGAACCGGGTAGGGAAGGGTCAAAGGTGGTGGGAGAACGGAAATGAATGTGAAAAACAACGAATCTTTCAGCGCCTAGGTCCTAAAATTCTTTGGATCTGCTAATATTCCTGGAACAACCCTGGTTCCCTCATTCTTTATCCTTACCGAGTCACCAGGCACGTGGAAGTGGAACTTTGTTTTATTGCAGCTTCCCGCCCCTCGGATGAGCGCAGAGGAGGGGAGAGAGACGGAAAAGAACGGAGGGTGAGCAAAGTGGTCGTGCTCGGGTTAGCTGCATATTGGGTTGTCCAGGACAATACCTTTTAAAAATCACCATTAATTCGTCTACCCGGTGCTCCAAGGAGCCAAGAAACGTGGGGCTTCGCTGCAATTAGCCACTTGTCCCGGGCTCGGTTGCGCTGCGGAGCTGCTTAAATCAAAGCAGATGCAGCAGCAGCATTCCCTGCTGCCAACATCATGTTTCTCCAGCTGGTCACCCACGTAGGGGGGCGCTACGGGTCCGAGGGGTCGGCGGCGTGGAGTGTCAAAGTTTTTCCTCAACTCCAGCCCGGCACAGTGGGTAGGAGGAAGAACTCAGCTCCAAGCGTCGGATTCGACCTGGGAAGTCACCCCCTCCAGGACCGCACCTGCACCCGGGGTCTGGCTTCCGTCGCTCCCAATTCCCGTCCACGAAAGGACCTCTTTTGGGATTTAGAGCGCGACGGGGCCACGCAAGTACTATCTATTTTAACTACAGGAATTGGAAGCGTTGTCGCCCTCCATCCCGCGCCAGCCGCGAGGGTCCCCGGACTCACCGCTGCTCAGTTCGTAGCCAAAGAGCGGGCTGGTGCCCGGCGGGGCGGCGGCAGCGACCTGGCAGTTCCATCTCTCGTGTCTGAACTGACTTCTGCACTCCTGAATGCCCAGACGGGCGCCCTCTCGGATGCTGGGCAGCAGGTACGGTTTCCTCTTGCACAGCTCCTTCTGGCGGCTGTTCAGAGGCAAGTTGGCGCAGCCCAGTTTCTCCGGAACCCCAAAGGAGGCGATGCCCAACCACCTGTAAGATACGGCCGCTCCGAACGTATGTCGCCCGCCTGCTCTCGTCCCCAATCCCAGATATTTTCCTCAAAATTAGGTCACTCGCCTTAGGGTCACCACCCTTACTCCCCCGCCTTAGCTGAAAGTTTCCTGAGACTGGGTACCCCATTTGTCACATACCCCGTGCGTCCCCGCTGTCCCCATACTCACATCCAGTTTCCTTGAGCTCCGCAAGGGAATAGCACGAGCAGGGCTGCCCACAGCGCGCACAGGCGGGACAGTCCCAGGAGCGCCGCTCTGTTCATGGCCCCCGCATGGATTCCCGCCACTCCAGACAACCCCTCTTCTGCCCTACGCGCTCAGAGGCCCGCTAGGCCAGAGGTCAGCTCCCCAGCACCAAGTTTTCCCTCTCCCTGTCCGTCCCTGCAGACAACATAAAAAGAAAGCCAGCAGGGATAGGGGCTCTCAGCAGCCTCCCCTCACTTGCAAGGAGCAGTGTGAAGAGGTGGAGAAAATTGCTTGAGGCTCTCCTCCCGCGCGCAGCTGGGGATGTGCAGGAGATGCGAGAGCTTCCCTGCATTCCAAGGTGAGAAACGTCTGTTGATGTAGTTCTGTCTCCATCGCCCCCGGCCTCTCCTCCCATCTCCTCCCACTGGCCGCGCCTAGAGTCTGATTGGCCCAGCCGCCGCCCCGCACTCACCATCGACCTCAGGCTCCCATTGGCCCAGAGTGGGCTCCGCAGGGGGCGCTCGGGCCCGCAGCTATCCCGCCGCGCGTCCAGACCCCGGTGTGTTCATGACCTTTCCTCCGGTCTCCAGAGCGGGTCTCTGCGGGAGGGTAGTAAATTCAACCGGAGACTGATAGGGGCGCTTCTGTCTCAACAACCCTGGGTGGAGGCGTGAATCGAATGGGAGATGTTTGAGTTCCACCCACCCTAGTTGCATTTGGATTAATTACCCTCTGGGTGGAGTGGCTGGAAAATCTCACTGTCCCCGTTTCTTTCCTCTCCTTCACCTCACAGGAGAATAATCTTTTTGAGTCAGAGTTGGTACCAAACAAGTTGACCTTTCAACAGCCTGCGTGAGGTCTCAATGCTTCAGGAAGCTTTAGAGGAAGGGTGAAATGTCAGTCTGGAGACCATCATCTGTGCAAACTTTCATTTTTAGCTCCAACCTAGCATATAACCTACTATATTAAATCGTGTTGTGTGATTTCCTTTACCCAGTTTGTCTTTCATTCTTCATCCTTGAGAGCACAGTCAGAAAATGGAGCACGGAGAAAGAATGAGTGTGAGAACTCTCTGGAGAGTTCTAGAACAGAGGGGAACTGTGTCTTTACTCCTTTCTTCATTCCACATTATGGCTCTCATGGAGACTTTAGTCATGGGTACAACTGAAGACAGATTTTAAAAACATAATTATTAAACACCTACCGTGTGGCCAGTAAATACTGTGGGAAATGATAAAGACAAGATCCCTTCCTTGGAGTACACAAACCAGCCGTGGGGAGAAGTCTAAAACAAAATAATTTGAGATTATTGGTAAAGAAGAGAATGGAATCCAGCCAGGTCCTTGTTGGAGTCAAAGAGAGTTCAAAAACAGAGTGTTATGGTGCCTGAAGTTTAGAAGGTTGGTTAACCAGTGTTCTGCAATCTCTGGGAAAACTCTGAAGGCAAGTGGGACATTGTTAGCTGTGGTATCGGAAAGCCCTGTCTCACCTAGTTGGTGACAGGAAATGTTTTGGAGTCCTTAGAGGACTTATGAAATGTTTGTAAATTCTCAGGTGGACAGACTAGCTTAGTAGATGCCAAAATCCAGATTTATGCAAATAAAAGATCTTCTTACTTGCTTTATCCTCAAATAAAGGATTTAATTAGCTGCATATCTCCTATATCAGCCCAGAGCAATAAAAGCTCACTGAAATTCCTACCCTATCCCCTTTATTCAACAAATATTTATTGAGTGAACACCATGTACTAGTAAGCCACATGGTAATTTTTAGAGAGTCAAGTTGATGATAGGGTGTAGTTACTGATCCAGAATTATTTTGGCGATTGGCTAGTGGCCTCTCTGCAACTCAGAGCCTTCATCCAAGCCCACTTTATTCTGTGAGCTTCTCCAGGAGGGGTCCTGAAGCATTTATTGCTGTACCCCGGCCTTTGGGCCCAGTACAAGAGATCCTAGTTTTGAACATAGTTTATTGAGTGAATTAACATGATGAGGACATTCTGAACAGATATCTAAGTGGCCTAAATGATGAAACTAGTGGACAGGAGGAGGGAAGAAAAAGCAACCTCAGGACTGGGTGAGTAGAGAACATTAATACTCTAGGCTGATTTTAGTGGTATATGTTTTAAGGAAGTTGTTGAGTTGTTTGTTTTATTTTAATTGAAAAAATATATATTGAGCCTCTATTATGAATTAAGAAGTGGGGAATAAAATTGACTTAAATGGTAGAAGATTTCACAGCCTTGTTGAAAAGACAGAAATTGAGCGGGCAACTACAATACAGTGTGATAAATGGGGGAAGTATAGAGTGCTCCTTCCCCTCCCCTCCCCCTCCCCCTTCTTCTCCCCTTTCCCTCCTCCCCCTTTCCTTCTTCTCTCTCTCTCTCTCTCTCTCTCTTTCTCTCTCTCTCTCTCTCTCATTATAGATAAGGAAATGAATTTGGAGAGATTAAGAAACTTGCTCAAGGTCACTCAGCTAGTTAGTAGTAGAGTAAAAAAATCTTATTTTAGAGGTTTTATTCTTTTCACCATAATGTACTGCTGCATCACCTGAGTCAAATTATTTTTTATTTTCTAATCAAATTCTTTATCACTGGGCCTCAGGGTCTAAATTTCTCTTTTGTATCTCATAGTTCTTCACAACACAGTTCACAGATTATCTCCATCAGAGTTCTGTTGACTGATAATAAACCAAAACCATATATTTTGCATTGAAATATATATATATATATATATATATATATATAGAGAGAGAGAGAGAGAGAGAGAGAGAGAGAGAGAGAGAGAGAGCGCCTCTATTATGAGTTAAAAAGTGAGAGGCAGATGGCGGTCTGCATGTATGCCCTTCCACCCCCCCCCCCTTACTTGATGACTGATTTCTGTGAGCTGGGAGGACCAGTGCAAAGAGCACTGGGCTGACTTGAGTGCATTTAATTTCAATTTTGAACCTTAGTTTCCTCATCTGTAGAATCATCAAAACTTTCAATTCTGAATCTCTTACTGGAATTTCCATTGGGCTGGAAGGAGAGAGCTGATTCCAAGTGTGTGTGTGTGTGTGTGTGTGTGTGTGTGTGGTGGGAGGAGTACATTTGATAGTGGATTTGCATTCTTAGGAAGAGGGCACCCTAGGTATTGACAAATGATTGTCTACCTAAGAGAGGGACCCAGTTCTCAGGTGGCACAGGCTAGAATTTTCTGGCCCCCATCTTGTATCTTCATTTCTACTTTTGTTTGTGTATTTTAATCACAGCGAATTATTTTAATTGCAGGAATCTTTTTGAATGGTTGGGCTTTAAAATATAATATTGTCAGGTCATATGGAATTTTATTTAGAGGACAAAAGAAAATATTAAGTTACAGATATTTTATCTATCCTGGAATATGAAAGCGAGGAGCTCTTTCATCTCCTTTAATATGAAGTGGTTCATTTCTACTATCATTGGTGAGGATTATATAGAGTTGAAAAATAGTGTTTTGCAAGGTTTCTATGTTTCAGGTGCCCATGCCTATAAAATATTGCAGAGATCACACCATTCATTGTTCATAAATGAGAGCTGATATTATGATATCTCATGATGAATCCAGCTACCTTGATTAGTTTTGTTAATAAAGCACCATGTGACTCTACAGTTTGTACAGGTTACTGAAGCATCTCTAGCTTCTTGATTCTACAAAGACAACATGTATTTGAACTTGTTTCTCTAGCAGGAGTAAGGTGTTTTGAGCTATATTCTAGAAAAGGATATTTGGGAGGGGAGAGTCAGATTTCAACCATATTTATTTCACTCAAAGGAGCTCTTGAGGGATTGAATGTGTGACAGTGGTCATCTCTGATCAACTGAGCAAAGTGAACCAGATAAGTAGCTGGCTGGCCGTAAATCATGTTTCCCACTCAGGACATTTGTAGAGTGTTAGTTGTAGAACCCAGAAGAGCCTGCTCCTTCTGGTAGTTTTCTCTCAGTCCCTGGGAAACTCAGCAAAAAAGTCTGCCTGCACAGATATGCCTTGGACTCTGCCTCTGGCAGTCCATCAGAGGACCAGACTTCTAAGGGCCCTGTTGTAAGAATTTCTGCTGCAGATCACAGAGACTTATGTACTGAAAACTGATACCAGAAGCACCCCAGCTGGTCTTAACTCCCATGATAGAACAGAAGACCAGAGGTGACGTTTTACATAACTGGGTCCCCATCCATTCTATTTTAAATTCCACCTGGATGGTACCAGTGTGTAACAGAGCACAGGCTTGTGGCTACTGGCTGTCAGGCAGGGGCAGAGAATGGCATCCTGGATGTCCTGCTGTCCTTTGGTAGCTGGAAAAGCCTGTAAGAATGACAGTCTTGGAGCGACAGAGGAGATACCCGTGACAGAAAGGGCAGGAGTTGGAAAAGGATGCTGGCTTGCTTTTATAATTTCCACAACTACAAATGTGAAATTGTTTTGTTTACTTGTCCTAGAAATTAAGATTGAATATGCCTCATAAAGTGTTAATATAAAGCGGATTATCTCTAGTGGCATTTATACAGATTATGCAATCTTTCTGGAATGAGGGAATAAAAGTAAACCACAATCCTTGACAAACAAGAGTGGTCACTGTTGCCTGAGGGCACAAGTAAGCAAACATGCAAGACTAAAATACATGACGAGTGTTGAATCTCTCAGTATCCTTTTCAAAAACAGTTTCCTGAATTTTATAAAACAAAACAACTTCATCAATTAATGAATTATTGTCAATTTTAATAAGTCATCAAGAAAACAACTTCAAAAATCAAGTATTTACATTTTTTAGAGGATTATTTATGGAGAGATCACTGGGCTGTCTATAGTGGAAAAAAGTTTTTTCCTTTACAAAAATTGAACAATCTGAAATTTTAAAGGAGAACTTTTTGAGGGAAAAGTCATTTAGAAAGGCTTGCTTGTGTCTTTCTTAGTGTAACTGTTAGTCTGCATAATGAGACTTAATTGTTGTGATGTAATAAATTTTATTTTGCCAATAAAATGCCCCAAATCAGCAAGTGCTGAAATTGCTTTTGTATTCAGGGTTGTTGTTCATATGTGTAACTCTTGGCTACTCTCTTCATTATGGGTGGATAGCATGTCAAAGTGGAGTTGGTTAATCT